AAAGAAAATCTAAAATTAAAAACACCCTAACAAAAATTACTTTTCTTCAAGGAACGTCAAAAATACTTCAAAGTGAAAAAAATCAACCGAAGTGAAATGGATGATATTATGACGTGTAGGTTTTGAAAAAATGTTATTGAAAATTGTTCACACACACACACACACACACACACACACACAAACAAAAAAACAAAAACGAAGCACATATACCCATACATACGAGTACAAATACTTGCAAACATATACACTTACGTACGTACACATGCGGTATCATCTACACATTCATGAGGCATGTATGTATAATGCGCGTATGTTTAACTGTCTTTAGATTTCTGCTACCTCGCATGTCAGTCCCTCCCTGGACTCTTTCACTTTAACGTTCATTTCGCTTCTTTTACCTTTTAATGTAGCCAAGGGTCATAACAAATATGTGTCCATTATTTGACATTTAAACGTAGGCAACGCAACTTGGTAAAATAAGTCTCATGAAAGATAACTGGCAGATAGTCTAATATTTTTAGTGCACTGACATGTGTAGGAAACGAAACAAAATCCTGAATTTATTTCTTACTGAATAAGTAAATACGAAGAGCACTGATTACATTCATTTGAGTTTTATTTCGGTATTTAAAACATTTCTAATTTTATTCAGTTTATTTGCAGAGTAATTGAGCTTTACAAAGCGTAATATATGGCCCGTGTCGAGCCAGGCCGCATGCAAAAAATCAGTGAAAGACTCTTGTTTGAGAAGAAGAGAGGTATGATAAGATACGAACATGGCCCATTGAAAGATTCCAGCAACTTACATAGGGTAGGTAGCAGGGGTAAGCGATGCGGGGTCGCTGTTAGAGGAATGAAATAGAAAGCCGACTGAGACAACATTGTCCCTTTGTCTCAGTTTTTGTTTATGGTTAGTTTATGTTTTTTTTTTACGCTGAAATGGAGGTGATTGTGTTTTGATCGTGTTTTTGCGGTCATAATATTCAAATTCGGTTGGGTGGATCAGAAGAAGATAACAGCAGGCCTTTTGTCGAATTCGAAAGCCTCGTCTCTCATGTTAAAAATAGAGCCATTGGTAATCAGGCTCGCGGGCCGGTCAAAATGTCTTCGCGGGCCGGGCCGGGCCGGATCCGGTCCGCGGACCATAGGTTGCCGACCCTTGATCTATGTCGTGGTCAAGGACGGCATTCCAATCCCCCGCTAAAACTACCCGACGAGATGTCGTCAAAAACGTCTCGATCTGCCGAAAAACAGGCCGCTCAAATTGGTTATTTGGCGCATAAACCCCAATGAGTCGAAGATCCTTATCCTTTATGGCAACATCCAGCACGTAAAGCCTGCCCGCCGGATCTGCGAAGACAAGAGTACACGCAGCCTTCAAAGACTTGCTCTTTCTATTTCATCTTCTTCGATCTGGGCCTCTTCATTAGGACTTTGGCGTCAACGAGTATGAAAATTTCAAATGTTTCAATAACACAACTCAACGATAAGAAACAGTAACATTATCATCGATAACGGACTAAGATAGATACTAGGTGCAGAAATATCATTCAGATTTCACGTATCGTACAGTTGACGTACAAGTGTCGGCTGAAAAATAGATAGGCTGTCTCATGCAATGTGTCCAAATGAGGTCTATTTTTCATCATAGCCCGATCTGAGGTCCACACACTTCTATCGGTGTTGAAGTGCTTGGGTCCATTGGTGAAGAGGTTTTCATGATGTTGGTAAAAACAAAGTCATCGACAGCGGATATGACGTTAGAATCAGTGCTATGCTGGTTCCCAGCCAAGCGTTTTTTTTTTGTTTTTTTTTTGTTTTGTTGTTTTTTTTTGTTTTTGTTTTTTGTTGTTTTTTTTTCAGGTTGGAGAACAGATGATAGTCAGATGGAGCTAAACCAGGAGATTGGGGAAGATGATCAACTAGTTCAAAGCCACAGTCACACATAGCAGCCATTGAAACTAAGGACTTGCGTGCTGGAGTATTTTCTTGAGGAAACAAGAACCCTTTCGTTAGTTTCCATGGATGTTTGGCGTTGTTAGTTTTTCGTAATTAGCTCATCAAGTTGGCATAGTACTCTATATCCATGGTGTGACCCTATCGAAGATATTCACCAAATATTCGAAATCGCAATGTTTTTGTTGTAGCCTAGGGAAGGTTGCTGAATAGAATCATCCCACGAAGTCTGGTAACGAACGATTATACTTAGGAGACGAACAACACATACAAGATTTGATAGCGGCGCGTAGAAGAAGTAGTCAACTGCTAGATGTGAGTCAAGTGAATCTCCAACTGCAGGATATCTACCAACCGCCCCACGCGGTCAGATGTGGAACAAGGCCGAATTTTATGTTGGGTATCGGAGCCAATAGGTTCGGGCAAAAATTACCCGTAGACCCGTATAAAATTAAAATAACAGTATAATACTGTAACAACAGTATTTTTTAAATCGTTTACCCTGAAGCAAGGCGACAATAAATAAATAGGAGCAGTTACTGCCTTTTTGAGAGGGAAGTTTCCAACAATCAGTTCTGACAGTCGGACCAAACATTCTTGCTGTAACACTCACGTTTGTATTACTGTCTCTATTAATATATTTCTTTAACTCGAATCCTCACTTGTGTCTTTATTTCTGGCCCTAACAAGACCATAATAGATAGATAGATAGATAGATAGATGAGAACTGTTATGGTAATTTACCCACGCACGCATGGATTCTCCCAGCTATAAATAGGAGCAGGTACTGCCTTTTGGAGAGTAAAGTTTCCAGCAGTCAACTCTGAGAGTCGAACCGAACATTCTTGTTGTAACACACTCGTTTGTATAAGTTTGTATTACTGTTTCTGTTAATATATTTCTTTAACTGAATTTCTCTTTTGTGTCTTTATTTCTAACATGACCATAATAATAACTAAAATCTTTGAAAATGGATAACCATTTAACTGAAAGCGCTTTGACTAAAAAATCTTTTGGACAATTTTCGCATATCCAGAAAAGAAAACACACTCACACATAAAAAAAAAATATGAAAGAAAACTTGAAGTACCATGTCAGACTTGCTTAACGAAACATGTATTAAAGATGGATTGCTGCCTAAATACAGAACTGTATATATATATATATATATATATATATATATATATATATATATATATATATATATATATGCCTCCGGATTATATACTGTGTAAATTACATATTCTCGCATCTCTAATTATATTTCTTCGTGTGATCATCTCATTTATTTATTGTGAGACACGCATTAAAAAAATAAATTCTTTCAAAAGCACTGAAGTCATTTTCTAGTTAAGGGACATTAACATCAGCGAGAAACATTCGCCCGTTATTATTGCTGGCGACGGAAATATGAAAAAACACAAAATGAAGGTGCATCGTAAAGAAAAACCATAATGATAATGAGAGACAATTTGAAAATGGGCGTAACTGGATGTCACTGTAATATAGGTAATAAGCCATGTATAGATACAACAAATTACCTATATATATATATATATATATATATATATATATATATATATATATATATATATATATATATACTTGAATGAGATTTCAAGAACAAGTTTGTTTGAATGCGCATGCGCGCGCTCGATGTTTCCATGACCAGTGATTATTGCAAAGATGGATTGAAAGTCGGCAGGTATGGACAGACTAGGTAGATGAAGGTGAGGGTTACATGCTGAAGAAATATATCTAGTTAAATATTAAGGCCCACATCTGAGTTTGGTAACGGACCTGGTAATTTCATTATGAAAGACTTACCTACGCAGTAGATCTTGGTTTTATTAAAAGACCGAGAAAAGAAAAAAAACAAAGTGTGGATAAAGAAAGAAAGAAAGAAAGAAAGAAAGAAAAAAGAAAGAAAGAAAGAAAAGTGGAGAATGAAAGAAAGGGTTGAGAAAGAAAGAAAGAAAGAAAGAAACGAAGGAAGGAAAAACAAATCCGCAATAAATGAAGAAAATGAAAGAAATGTCAAAAATACGAAGAAAAGAAAGAAGAAATAAATAAAAAAGAAATGAAGAAAGAAAGAAATAAAGAAAGGAAGGAAGGAAGAAAAAAGTGTCGAGAAAGAATGGAAGAAAGAAAGAAGAAAGGGTCGAGAAAGAAAGAACAAATCCACATGAACGGAAGAAAAAGAATGAAAAGGAGAAAAAGAAATGAAGAAAGAAAGAAAGAAAGAAAGAAAGAAAGCAAGGCAAGCAAGAAAGAAAGAAAGAAAGAAAGAAAGAAAGAAAGAAGGCAAGCAGGCAAGCAAGCAAGAAAGAAAGAAAGAAAGAAAGGGTAGAGAAAGAATGGAAGAAAGGGTAGAGAAAGAATGGAAGAAAGAAAGAAGGGTCGAGAAAGAAAGAACAAAGCCACATGAACGGAAGAAAAAGAATGAAAAGGAGAAAAAGAAAGAAAGAAAGAAAGAAAGAAAGAAAGAAAGAAAAAGAAAAGAAAAAGAAAAGAAGGAATGAGTGGAAAAGAAAGAAAGAAAGAAAGAAAGGGTAGAGAAAGAATGAAAGAAAGAAAGAAGAAAGGGTCGAGAAAGAAAGAACAAAGCCAAATGAACGCAAGAAAAAGAATGAAAAGGAGAAAAAGAAAGAAAGAAAGAAAGAAAGAAAGAAAAAAAAAGAAAGAAAGAAAGAACAAATTGGCAAGAAAAGTAGACTGCCTCAGATATTCGGCCGAATATTACAATTCCATCAGACTAAGGACGATACACAATGAAAGTGAAGCACACATATCAAGGAGATCAAGGTCCTCATTATTTGCTCTCTGACGCATGGAAACCTGTCTAGGCGCCGAAATCTTGGCTGTGGCGATTTTCTGGTATCAGATTAGTGGCGCGTAGGATGGGATTGCGATTTTCTGCTCTAGAATAGAGGTATCAATCCCAGGTTCAGACATGAATAGGTCAGGTTTCGCCCCTAGAAGTTCGAACGTAGACACTGCACATTGGTGTAGATGATGAACCAGGGGTCTGCTTTTGTTTACACTATTTACACTGTTCAAACTAGCGTCCTCATCTTATTTACCATATTTATCACAATGTTTCGGTCGTTGTACGCTCCGGCCTTCTTCAGGTGGTTGGAATGTCTAACTGAACCCTTTGTTTCGCTCGCTGCTGTAAACTGTTCTAGTTCCACGTGCCATGTCTAATGAATGTCAGTTATCAGTTATCTTCTGTTAATTAACCTCTCCAAGTTCTCCACCGCCTTTACCAGGTATTGAACTCACACACTTTGGGTTCTGTCACTGGATCTAACACCTTTATCCACTGTGCCATGTGTCCTTCAGGACACATGGCACAGTGGATAAAGGATAGTCCGAACAATGTAACTAGTGTACATAATACCTCATCTCAGAAATATAGACACATACGTGATAAATATGGCAACAAAGATGGGGACAATCGTCCGAACAATGTAAATAGTGTACATGATACCTCATCTCAGAAATATAGACACATACGTGACAAACATGGCAACAAAGATGAGGACAATACTCCGAATAATGTAAATAGAGTAAATAATACCTCATCTCAGAAATATAGACACATACGTGATAAATATGGTAAAAAAGATGAGGACAATACTCCGAATAATGTAAATAGTGTACATAATACCTCATCTCGGAAATATAGACAGACACGTGATAAATATGGCAATAAAGATGAGGACAATAGTCCAAATAATGTAAATAGTGTACATAATAACCCATCTCAAAAATATAGACAGATACGTGATAAATATGGTAACAAATATGAGAACAATAGTCCGAACAATGTAGATATTGTACATAATACCTCATCTCACAAATATAGACAGATACTGAAGTTGGGTTAATATTTTATTCAATTTAGCTGCGTTCCCGTTTCGAAATCAATAGAAGTAATATAGAAAAGAAAAATGAGTTTTTAAGATTTCTGCAAACGTATGCTAGATTCTTCAAAGCAGATTAATTATTATAAATATCATAAAATGATATTCATACGTATATATGAATATATAGATCCATACAAACGCATATACAAAAATAAAAGATATATTTCAATCTATGAGTGAAAGTTATCTAAAAGCCAAATTTTCAGATGATTTAAAGTAGACTAGCAACCATTTAAATGATTGGCGCTATATACTCTTTATACTACTAGCCTTTCCGGTTAATGTAGTTAATGCTGTTTATTATAAACAGAGCATTTGCTGTATTATTTGTGTCTATAAAAATAACGAATAACTTAAAATAATTGTCGGACTTTGTCCATTTCGTAATGTGTGTATATATATATATATATATATATATATATATATAACGTCATCCACAGACAGACTGTTTCGCTGTTTACAGCTCATCAGTGTAGCTAGACATATATATATATATATATATATATATATATATATATATATATATATATATTTTTGTGTGTGTGTATGTGCGGTAATAGATCATGATTTACTTCGACCAGTAAAGTCGACATAAATCATGAGCTATTACCGTATTTTCACGATGTTAAGCTCTTCCTTGATGTATATCATATTGCTCTGTAGTTCATACATTGAGCTCTCTGCCGATATATCTTTTTAATATTCTATATTTAAAAAAAAAACTTGGATTATCCTTTCCACTTACGGACTTAATATTATCTTTCTCCATCTTTATATATATATATATATATATATATATATATATATATATATAACTAGAAAAACCCTCGAATTTTTAATTTGCTAATCAAATCAATCTCGAGGGAAAAAAAAAAGGTTTTAAAAAAAGAAAAAGCTACAAACATGAACTTCTGCCGACAAAAAATCGCACAGATGCAGGTCTGAAGCCCAAAGAAAAAAACCCGACACGAGTAAACAACTAACTAACAAAAGAGCTCAATACAACCGTAGAGCATACCTTTAATACACCTAGTGAGCCAGACAAACCTACCTAGGTTTCACCTAAACGGATCGTCAGGAAAAGTTTGGCCAAACTTTCCCTGATGATCCGTTTAAACCTAGGTAGGTTTGTCTGGCTCACTAGGTGTATCTATATATATATATATATATATATATATATAAACAAGATTTTCGAATGTCGATTTTAAAAGCTGGCAGGCCTTATTTATTTCAGAGATTGACAATGTTCCAACTCTTATTAAGTGGCTATTTTGCAGTTGAGATAATGGCGAATTACTCACTCGCCAGATTTTCGATTACTGATTTTCAAAATACGCTCTTTCTCCTCAAGAGTCTGGTGTAACATAATCTTGTCGGGTCAACTTACTTCATTTGACCATGCGCCAGAATGAAACCAAATAAGCTAAGTACCTATAAGTCATGAGTTTAAAACGGGTTTCAGTTTATTCTGTTTAAAATCATAACATAACAGATTATTTAATGCCGAACAGATTTTAAAACAGATTCGTGTGAATAGACTATGTGTTGCTGGTAATATTTTTTTCAAAAATTTATTACTGATATTTTACTATAAAAATGTATTTTTATCCTTTCATAGTGTTTTGACTGTTTTGAGGCTTAGCCGGGACCCTAACAGGTGCTACCACCCCAGGTCAGGCTGAACCTGGAAACAAAAATCAATTAAGAATTGGTTCCACGCAACTCAAAAACCTCTTGATCAGAGGCCTTGCTGCCGAATGTAGTTTATCGTCATACCCAGGACGATATAACGTTAGGAAGCTCGTATGCATAAGCGTAAGGTAAGGAGAACGAAGAGACAGCGAGAGATGAATTCACTTCGGTTATCGAGTCTTATTAGTTCCGCCCGGTTGCCTCTTAATTGAGGAACAGTTAGCTTGCGTCAAATTCTCTTAAGGTTTCGAGCAGAACAGTTGAAATCGTAGCATAATCGACAAGCAAAATGATACTTCAGTCAGCATCCATTATAAATATTGAACTATGGCAAATTAATCGATAAAAATTCCCTCTCAAGAATCTGTCCATTCGATTCTCTTCGCCCGATTTACTTCTGTGGAACTGGCCAGGATCGTTCCCAGCTTCTCAATAACACACGCACGCACAAACACACACACACAAATGCACACACACAGACACACACAAACACACACAGACACACACACAGATACACGCACAAATGAAAGCGGGTTTGAAAGCCAAATAAAGATTTCTTTTCAATATATTTTTTCCATTTGTTTTTTGCCATTTCCTTCATATTTATAATAGCTTTTTTATCACATTTTTTCCCTTAACCGACTTATTCAATCGTTAAATTAAATTGCATGGATTCATAATTTAACAAAAAAAAAAAGAAAGAAAGAATGGTTCTAATGTTGAACTAGTTATCACTTTTCTACTAGCTCCAAGAATTCGAGCCCATGTAAAAGCATGCAATTTTAATGCCGATTTTCGAGGTAGGAAATGGCTATCACCATAATTCCCCATGTATAATACGCCTTCATCCATAATATTTCGCTGAAAGCATGGGAAAATGCTTCTACTCATGCATAATACGCATCCATTGTTTAGTAATCAAACCCTATAAATTGTACCTTTCCAATTTCATTACAGTCAACGTTTCCTACTCTTATTAAAAATTGGTTTTAAACATAGAATAATATTCTAATTTAGTTTTATGATAATTCTTATTTTATTTGACATTTTTAAGTATTCTTAGGTCCATATGATTGTATTTGACATCCTTATGGAGTCGCAATCGCCGAATGTTAGTGTCAAATTGTCATATGCTTGAGGTGAGTAGTCATTTCGCAAATGAAATCGACCTGTGAAAAGGCAATTTTTTAAAGATTTTTTTGTAGTGTGTTTTTTTTTACATAATACGCAACCTTTATTTTGCTTATTTTTTTTTTTAGAAAAAAAGCGTATTATACGTGGGGAATTACGGTAAATTAAAGATTAACACTAATTATTTTTATCCTCATAGCTTTTTTGACCGCAAAAATAGAAAGGAGATTAAAAAAGGACTGTGTCCTCCCACTGGATTTGTTCAACATATACAGTGAAACAATTCTGGGGGAATTAAATATCATACCAGAACTCCTTATTCGCAGCCACAATATTAAAAACATAAGATATGCAAATGAAACAGTGTGTATAGCAGACACGGAAAGAAAAGTACAAAAGCCCCTATAGAAGCTAATGAAAGAAAGCGAAAAGCGAGGTCTAAAAATAAGCTGTAAGATAGAATGCAGGTTTGTTAGCAGAAGGATTAGACAAAAGTGTGAATTGCAAATCAGAGATACCAAAATCGAACAAATACAAAAATATAAATACCTGGGAAGTGTTCAAACGGTGGATGGAAAGTGTGACACTGAAATGCGAAGGCGCATGGAAATGTGTCCCAAAAGCTAAGCAGAGTATTATGAAATTGAAAAATAGAAACTAGGAAAAGTGTACTAAACCGTTACGTTTTCTGTTCTCCTGTATGGCAGTGAGTGTGGTCAATCTCCTCAAAGATGAAGAAGAGACTTGAAGCAAAAGAAGTTTGGTTCTATAGGAAGAAGCTGAGAATACTATTGACCGATTATGTGAGCGACGACGTAGTTTTAAAAAAATGGAAACCAGAAAAGGGACTTAGACTTAAAATCAAGAAGAGACACACGAGGAAAGGGGCTTTGGAAAATCTGATACTCACAGACAGACTGAAGGCAAGAGGAACATATATGGCAACACTTGAGAATTATATTACAATAATCCAGAACCTACATGGACAGCAAAAATGTGTTCCGGAGATATACAAAAATAGAAAGGAGTGTAAGACGTGTCTTCTCATTGGATTTAATCAACATATATATCAAGGTTATTAGGGCACCTCGAGGTAATGTAATGGTTAGCAAGCTTGTCTCGCTAGAACAATTACGACTGAGGAGTGAGTTTGATTCTCACTGGGTGCCCCATACTTTCGTCATTGTGCCACATACTTCCTTGGACCACATTTAAGTAGGCCACTGGGCATCTGGTGTAATGGTTAGCAAGCCTCGCAGAACAATTACGACTGAGTAGTGAGTTCGATCCTCACCGGGTGCCCTATACTTTCAACTTGTTACATCTGACCTACACTTGGAGAGTTGCTATATATCAAGGTGATTCTGAGAGAATTAGAAGTCCTACCAGGATTCATTATTAGCAGCCACAATCTTAAAAACAAGATACGCAGATGACAGTGTTGGTGGCAGGCACGGAAAGAAAACTACAAAAATTTCTACAGAAGATAATGAAACAAAGTGAGAAGATGGGATTTAACATCAACTGCAAGAAGACAGAATGCATGGTCGTCAGCAAAAGGTGCAAGCTTAAAGTGCGAATTCCAAATCGGAGATACCAAAATAAAACAAGTGCGAAAATTTAAATATTTGTGAAGTGTTTTAACTGAGGACCGAAAGTGTGACATTGAAATCCGAAGGCGTATTGTGATAGCCAAGGATAGCATTCCAAAAGTTAAACAGAGTACAAAGAAATAAGAAATAGTTATTAAGGAAGCAAGTGAGAAGAATGGAGTTCCGCTGTCGGGAAGAAGAAGCTTTTGTTGTAGAAGAGGTGGTTACATATAACTTTTTGGACTGTAAAAAGCGGGACCGAAATGCCAACCTAGTAGCACTCTTAAATCCATGCAGTCGGGGCACCAGTGAAAATAGCTCGTTAGGGCAGTTGCCATGAAAATATTTGTAGAAAAGACAAAGGTAAGTCAGTCATGTGAGAATGTGACTGGAGTCGATTGGACAGGTTAGGACCTATCACATTGCATATCCGTCTTTGGATTTTGTCAAGAAATTCATGATGAACAGTGGGCACACCAGACTATATATGGCAACACTTGATAATGATATTACAATAATCCAGAACCTATATGGGCGCATCCTGCGTATGACGATAAACTGCATGCGCATCCTGGGTAAGACGATATACTACGTCCGCGTCCTGGGTAAGACAATAAACTACATCCGCGTCCTGGGTAAGACGGTTAACTACGTCCAACAGCAAGACCTCTGATCAGGAGGCTTTGAGGAGCGTGGAACCACTTCTTAATTGCTGGTGTTCCCAGGTTCACCCTGACCCAGGGTGGTAGCAACTGTTAGGGTTCCAGCTATGGGCAAATAGTTGACCCCACATTCTTACTCAAAACAATATGAAAGTGTAAAAATAGATTTTAATACCAGATGATTTTTTAAAAAAAATTAGTATCAAAAATAAATATTTGAAAAAAGAAAATATTACCAGAAATAAAATTCTTGTCAGCATTAAATAACCCATTCAGGTTGATATGCCACAAAACAAATCAAACTATACATTAAAAAAAATTACCAGCTATACATTTTTGTAAAAAAAAATTGAAATTTTGTCGGCATTAAATAACCCATTGTGGTTGATATGCCATAAAACAAAACAAACCAAACCAAACCTATACGAGTAGAAAAAAATGAGTTCATATGATATACAAAAATAGAAAGGACGTGTTTTCTCACTGGATTTGATCAACCTATATATCAAGGTGATTCTGAGAGAATTAGAAGTCCTACCAGGATTTATTACTAGCAGCCACAATATTAAAAACATGAGATATGCGGATGACAGTGTTGGTGGCAGACACGGAAAGAAAACTACATAAATTCCTACAGAAAGTAATGAAGGAAAGTGAAAGGAAAGAATTAAACATCAACTACAAGAAGACGGAATGGGTTATGGTCCGGTTCCATGTACCACGGTGATAGTCCAAAGTAGAACCAATAAAGAAGAACTCGAAGGCGGATATGGAATAACACAGATATATTACAAACAGGAATATATACAGAGAAGTAGAAAGTGTTAGTATGAACAATAAGGTTTAGTAGTAATTGTCTGAACGCGACTCTGTTTCGGACTGCCTCTGACTCGACTGACTGACTGACTCGCTCGCTCTGACTGACTGACAGATTCCTGACGGACATCACTCCAGACTCTCTGCTTCCTCTTGAGGCGCAGTATTTATTACGTATGGAATAGCCCATTATGTTATTATGGGTAAGGTCCCATAACAGAATGCATGGTTGTTAGCAAAAGGCGCTGAGCCCAAAGTGCCAATTGTAAATGAGACATATCAAAATCAAACAAGTACAAAAATTAAAACATCTGCGAAATGTTCTAACGGAGGTCGTAAATTGCGACACTAAAATTCAAAGACGGATCTGGGTAGCCAAATATGCCTTTCAAAACCTAAGAAAAGTATTACCAGACAGAAAAAAAACTTCGTTAAATAAAAAGAAAAGAGTAATGAACTGTTACGCGACATCTGTCCTTCTGTATGGCAGTGAATGCTGGACAATCTCCTCAAAGATGAAGAAGAGACTTGACGCAACAGAAAGGTGGTTCTATAGAATGGTGCTAAGAATACCATGGACCGAACATGTGACTAACGACGAGGTTTTAGAGAAAATGGTATCATAAGGGAAAATTATACTAAACACCAGAAAGACGGAGTATGAGTTGAAAACTGTAGGGGAACGTAATGAGGAAAGCGGGCTTGGAAAATCGGATACTCACAGGACAGATGGAAGGAAAGAGGGACAGAGGAAAACAGTGCATAACATACTTGATAGGGTTGGGTAAATGGGTAGCGGAACATGGTTTAGAAGAAATAACGAAGAGACAAAATTTATTAAGAGCTACAAAGGACAGGAAATTGTGGAGAGCCATGATCGCCAACGTCCTGAAGGGACATGGCACATAGAAGAAGAGGAATGAGCTCGAGTAAATGGATGGCGGAACAGGGTTTAGGAGAAATAACGAAAAGACAACATTTATTAAGAGCTACAAAAGAACAGGAAATTGTGGAGAGCCATGATCGCCAACGTCCTGAAGGGACATGGCACATAGAAGAAGAGGAATAAACTTGAGTAAATGGATGGTGGAAAAGTCTTTAGGAGAGATAATAAAAAGACAACATTTATTAAGAGCTACAAAGGACAGGAAATTGTGGAGAGCCATGATCGCCTACATCATGAGGAGACACAGCACATAAAGAAGAATATGACATGTGGGTCTATTCCTTCATGAAAATCTCTGAGATGAATTTATTAGGTTATCCAAGCTACTTCACAATATTTCGCAAGGGATTTTTACCCACATTCTCGAAAGTGTTTGTTAGATCAACGAAGACTTGGTACAGATCCATTATTTGCTCAATGAAATTCTCTTGCAATTATCTTACCATGTCAGTTTTAGAAGAAAACGGAGACATTAGGGACACTCCTCCATATAATCAAAAATTGACAACTGAAATTTTCTAGGGCAAATCATTAGGAAAGAGGGCTTGGTAAATTTGATGCACACAGAACATGTTAAAACCGAGAGGATCAGAACAAAGTAGCGAATAACCTACCTAAAGAGCTTTTGTAGATGCTTGGCAGGACAGGAATTTATCTTCTGAGTGCCACTTTAAAATATCTATCTATCTATCTATCTATCTATCTATCTATCTATCTATCTATCTATCTCAGTGTGTTCATATCTATCTATGTATTTATCTGTCTATCTCAGTATATCTATCTATCTACCACTGCCTCTTCGATATCTATCTATCTATCTATCTATCTATCTATCTATCTATCTATCTATCTATCTATCTATGTGATGTGCATTTAGGGTACAAGAATTAATACGTAAAATAGTAGTAAAATGTTCACTATGAGTAATGTATTTGCGGTAATAGTAAGTTCCGTAGATAGATAGATAGATAGATAGATAGATAGATAGATATGAAGAGACTATCAAATATATAGAGAGATATAATGCCAATGATAGATAGATAGATAGATAGATAGATAAGACTAGCAGTATAACCCGTCTTCGACCGGATATTTCATTACTTAGATTTTTTGCCGTTCAATTGGAGCAGTTTAAGTTTAAAATCAGCCCACCCGAAAATCTATATTAGTAACAACAATTGGATGCAACTGAGGTATATCCCCAAATGGCGGGGGGGTAACAATGGATAAGTATCCTTAATGTTTCTATTTTCTTCTAAAACCGTCATGGTAAGAGAATTGCAACAGAACTTCATTGAGCAAATAATGGGCCCGTACCAAGTATTCGTTGACCTAACAAACACTTTTGACAATGTGGATTGGAGGTGGCCCTGAAAAGGGCCGTTTTTGCGTTCTCATTCTTGCAAGGAAGGAACCTCTTCCCTGGACTGTCATAATAATAATACACGATAATTCTTATTTATAATAATTTTTTTTTTTTATAATTCTAATAATCTTTTGCGTTAGATTAGAACTCTCTAAATTGATTGTACGCCGTTTTTTACAGATATTACTTTTTGCCTTTGATTTTTGCGCAAAATGTAAAAAATCATTTTTTTTCCATTTTTCACCTTCAAGGTTGTAATTTTTCCCAGTCAATTTGGACTCAAAACCCGTACTGAATAATTATCTATCAAACAAAAGAAAATTGAATGGAAATGAAAACTGTGGAAATCCATAAAGCACATCCGATCACACACACACATTTTGAGAGTTATAGATATAGATCCAAGCTACTTCAGAATTTTAGACAAGAGATTTGTATCCACATTGTCAAAAGTGTTTGTTAGATCAACGAAAACTTGGTACAGGTCCATTATTTGCCCAATGAAGTTCTGTTGCAGTTATCTTCCCATGACAGTTTTAGATGAAAATGGAGACATTAGGGACAATTATCCATATAATCAAAAATTGACAATTGAATTTTCTAGGGCATATAATTAGGAAAGAGAGCTTGGAAAATTTGATGCACACAGGACAAGAGAGAGAGAACAAAACAGTGAATAACCAACCTAAAGCGCTTTTGTAGATGCTTGGCAGGACAGGAATTATAAGAGATAGCTAAAAGATAACTCTTACTTAGAGCTACAAAAGACAGGAAGCTGTGGAGAGCAATGAAAGCCTCCGTCCTAAAGCAAAACAGTACATAAACAAAAGAACTTCAGCGCAGTTGTTTTTTTTGTCTGTCTGTCATTTTTTTGTTTGCTTCGCTTTCAAAAGATATTCAGATTGTGTTTTTTTAAAGAATTTTTTTTTACCTTGTGCCAACTCTGAAGTAATAAGAAAAAAAAAACGTAAGAAGTGTCTAAGATGCACGCAGTGAAACATATTAAAACCGGAGAAAGGGTCTAACGCGACTAACAAAGATTTATCAACAATAAAAACATCACCGGGACGACCTTCCCGTTCGCCATTTTGTTTTTAGCCTCATACAGTTTCTCTGTTCGCCTTCCGCGTTGTCCTGGGTGTCTGCACACATCCCAGAATAAATGGTATCTCTGCTGTGCGACTAAGCGTGAAAATGACAGATGGAAAGCGCAACTATCGCTTAGCAATTTCATTATTGTATTCTGTTGTATTGTGTTGGCTATTGTTGAAGTAATGGCGATTGGTTGTAGTATTCACGGAGAGATTCAGAACGGCAAAGGATTGTCAAGGAAAAATAAGTTTTGCAACAAAAAAAAAAACATTAATACGAAACAGAAACAGAAAGTTCTAGATTTTTTTTCATCATAACTTTTTCCTTTCTGGTCATAAATTTTGTTTAAATAAAAATGAAACTTTACCAAATGTGAAAGTGAAAGTGAAAGTGAAAGTAGGACGATAAATGCAAAAAGAAAATAAAATCAACTGCGGGAGAAGAAAGCATGAAAAAAAAGGTGAGACAATGTGTCAAAGCGGATAAGGAAAGCAGTTGCATAAATATTATAGGAGAAAGTAACCCGGGCGAATTTATAAATGTGTGCCGTGTTAAGAAAAGACATATTTAATAGCAGGAGAGAAACTGAAAGAAAAAAAATGGAACAAAATTAAATAGATTTATAGTTAACATTTGTAGAAAAAAGTTTGAAAAGAATGAAACGTTTAGAATATAATCCGATGGAATAAAAAAGACAGAGAAAGAGGAAGGAAGAGAATTAGATAGATAGATAGATAGATAGATAGATAGATAGATAGATAGATAGATGTGAAGAGGTTGAAAGAGATAGATAGATAGATAGATAGATAGATAGATAGATAGATAGATAGATAGATAGATAGATGTGAACATACTGAGATAGATGTGAATATAGATAGATAGATAGATAGATAGATAGATAGATAGATAGATAGATAGATAGATAGATAGATGTGATAGATAGATGGATGATGGATGGATATAGATGGATGGATGTGAACATACTGATAGATGTGAATATACATAGATGGATAGATAGATAGATAGATAGATAGATAGATGTGAACATACTAGATGATAGATAGATGATAGATAGATGTGAACATACTGAGATATGATATATAGATAGATAGATATGATAGATGGATGGATGGATAGATGATAGATAGATAGATGGATGATGTGATAGATAGATAGATAGATAGATAGATGATGGATGATGGATGGATGGATGGATGTGGACTGTGATAGATAGATAGCTGTGAACATACTGAGATAGATAGATAGATATGATAGATAGATATAGATATAGATGATGGATAGATGGATGTGAACATGCTGAAATAGATAGATGGATGAACATACTCAGATAGATGGATAGATAGATAGATAGATGGATGATGGATGGATGGATGATAGATGGATGGATGAACATAGATAGATGGATGGATGGATGGATGGATGGATGTGATGGATGGATGGATGGATAGATGGATGATGGATGGATGGATGGATGGATGGATGTGGACAGATAGATAGATGGATGGATGATGGATGGATGATAGATGGATGGATGGATGTGAAACATGCTGAAATAGATGGATAGATGGCTGTGGACATACTGATGGATAGATAGATAGATGGATGGATAGATAGATAGATAGATAGATAGATGTGAACATACTGAAATAGATAGATAGATAGCTGTGAACATACTGAGATAGATAGATAGATAGATAGATAGATAGATAGATAGATAGATAGATAGATAGATAGATAGATAGATACTATTTAAATATATTAAATTGGCACTCAAATATAGAGTGATATGTGTGTGTGTATTTGTATCTGTATTGACACGCACTGTATATTTATGTGTGCGTGTAGGTGTGGACAGGCGGGTGAGTTATGTGTGATCGTATGTATCTATTTGTGTATTGTGTGCCCATGTATGCGTTTATGCGTGTCTGCGCATTTGAATGAGGGTGAATGTGTGTTTATGGCTGTATTGTTATGTATGCATGTTCGGGTATATGTATTGAATTATGTGCATATATGTGCGTATATGCGCTAACCATTTGTTTCGTTTTCATTGTATATGACTTTGTTTATATGGCTGTGTTTGTCTATATAGGAGTTTATAAGTGTATCATATGCATATGCATATGAATACAGGTTTATGTGTGTATGATTGTGTAGATGTAGCTTTGTGTGTGTGTGTGAGAGAGAGAGAGAGAGAGAGAGAGAGTGGAACCTACAAATTCAAAGAACATATGCAAGAGATAAATACATCGAGTTAAAGAGAATCTGGCAAAAGACCGAGAAGAGAATTTCATGGAAGAAGAAGAGACAGATAAAAGGGGAGATAACTCTTTGCTGATTTCGGGATGATTCATCGACCACAGAAAGATTCAACGCGACCATGCTCCCTTTCAAGACATTTCCGCTTTTTCCTGTGAAATTGGTCAAAATTGCACCTTTCAACATTCCATTTGTTATTAAGTGCTTTACGACATAACGTATCCTGGTTCTAAGTATTTTACTTAAAAAAAGACTAGTCATTAGGTAGTAATTTGTTGAGCACTTTATCTTCTAAGTGCCACTTTAAACTATCTATCTATCTATCTATCTATCTATCTATCTATCTGTCTGTCTGTTTGTCTATCTGTCTATGTGATGTGCATTTAGGGTACAAGAATTAATACGTAAAATACTAGTAAAAAGTTCACTATGAGTAATGTATTTGCGGTAATATTAAGTTCCGTAGATAGATAGATAGATAGATAGATATGACGAGACTATCAAATATATATAGAGAGATAATGCCAATGGTAGATAGATAGATAGATAGATAGATAGATAGATAGATAGATAGATATGACAAGACTAACAAATATAAAAAGATAGATATGAAGAGACTAACAAATATAAAAAGATAGATAGATAGACAGATAGATAGATAGATAGATAGATAGATACTATCAAATATATATAGAGAGAACGCCAATGATAGATAGATAGATAGATAGATAGATAGATAGATAGATAATGAAGAGACTAACAAATATAAAAAGATAAATAGATATGTAGAAACTATCAAATATATATAGTGAGAACACCAGTGATAGATAGATAGATAGATAGATAGATAGATAGATAGATAGATAGATAGATAGATAGATAGATAATGAAGAGACTAACAAATATAAAAAGATGGATATGAAGAGACTAACATAGATAGATAGATAGATAGATAGATAGATAATGAAGAGACTAACAAATATAAAAAGATGGATATGAAGAGACTAACATAGATAGATAGATAGATAGATAGATAGATAGATAGATAGATAGATATGAAAAAAGGATCGATAGACGGTGCCAGGTAAACACATCATCTTTAATTGTGGTCGTATATATTCGGTGTGTGTAAATGATTTCAGTGACGAACAGGTTTTCATCTTTGCATTTCGCCTCAATTTCTCAAAATTTGCGCTGGGAAACTTTGCATATACACCCAGTGATGTTTATTTATTTTATCCTTACCTTTTGCATGCTTAAACATGTTTTATTCGTTCAAATTTTGGTGTGTTCATTATATATATATATATATATATATATATATATATATATATATATATATACGTACTTCTTTCTCTTATGAGTGTTTGTGTCGTGTTAGTCGAGTAGGGAAGTGGGTAGGTCATTTTGCTTTCCTTGCTAAACACAGTTATACGCGCATGCGCAGTTTTCCTTTTACCTGTCACCTTCCTCGCAATCAATTCTTCTTTACTTTTTGCATATTGTTGCACTTCTGACACCAGTGCGCTACGCTTCACATTTGAATATTACCCGGGCAACACTGGGACACCCGACTGGATTTGTCAAGGCGTTATCATACCTATTACAGATACAGAAATTTTAGAGGAAATTCATTATTGAGCTTCTCCCTTTATTAAGTCCAATTGTTTTGTTTGTCAGACGTTGCATTTGTTCAAACAAGATGGAAACTACGAAGGCAAAACAATGAAAGAAGAACAGACGATAAGTATCAGAGGGAAAAAAAAGTGAATACATGAAATATAGAGAGTGAAAGAAAAGTGTGGACGACGAAGAAAGAGGGAGGGAGGAGGAAAGAGAAAAGTCAACAACGAAAGAGAGAGTGTGAGAAGGAAAGAAAAGGTGTAAACAGAGAGGGAAAATGCCGAAGACAAAGTTGAGGAGAAGAGTGAGTGTTCTCTCACTCTTCTTCTCACCTTCATCAGTGAAGAAACAGTGAGTGAATAGAAAAAAAAGAGATAATACATGAATGATAGGGAGAAGGCAAAAAACTAAGTAAAGAGGAAATATAGGAGTAGAGGGAAAGAGAGGATATAGAGGAACGAGAGAGTGAGAGGGGGAATAGGTAAGAGAAAAGTAAAAGGTGAAAGATAGAGGGTGAGAAGGAAAGGCAGAGCACAAAGAGAGATGGTAGGACTTAAAGATAAAGGAGAGAGGATGAGGAGGAGAATGAGAGAACAAAGAGCAAATAGAGAAGGTTAGAAAGAAAATAAGGCAAAGAAAAAAGTGAAATCAACAACGAAATAAAGAGAAGAAAAAGGCAAACGAGAGGACAAGAGAAAAAGATAGAATATTTGATTGATAGGGAGAAGGCAATGGTGAGAGGAAAAAGATTATTCAGGCTTTCAGTAATGGTACCAACATTAATACTCTGGCTTCCATCTTCAAAGTTCATTCAAGTACCATCCAGAGAACAGTAAATGTTTAAAAAGAGCCAACAGTAGAGATGAAAACTGGATCAGGATGTCACAACAGCAAGACGGATCACATTTCAACTTGAAGCTAAAAAGTTCAATTAGAAAAGATCCAACTCAATCCATAAGACGTGAGAGAGGTGTTTCAGCTATGACAGTCCAAAGACCAATGAAAAACGAATTGAAAATGAAACGGTACCTGAAACCTGTAAGGCAACTTGTTACGCCAGGACAGAAAGTTAGAAGGTTAGAGAGGGCGAAGATCATCTTGAATAAGTAGGGAAATGATACACACACACACACATATATATATATATATATATATATATATATATATATATATATGAATTTTATATCAGTCCTTCCTGAGCTTCTGATCTTTAGTTATGATTAATTAATGATGAAAGTCATTTTCGTTTATGATCGATTTTATCACCAGTCTTCTGTTAATATTGGTGAGCAGTTATACATTCTTATTGCCCAGAGCCCAATAGAGTTATAAAAATGTCAGAGAATTCCAGTAAGATATCTTTATTCCTTTCTAGAATACAACGGTTCAAAACGTAATCGAACAATTGGACAATTTTGTTGTTACCCGATTTGAATGATTTTGCCGTTATAACTGCTCTATACTTACTGTAATCAAATTAGGTTCAAAATTATGTCTTCAAAGATCGCATGATACGCGTGTATATACTGTATATTTCCGCAACTGTTTTTAAATTACGGCGTTCCCACGTTTGATGTAACCAACTCAAGGTGACGACATATAAAGGATCAAAATGATTTTTTTGTTATATTTTTTAAACACACTTCCATATACACTGTGCCATGGAGAAAGATATTAAATAAGGTATCTTTCTCCATCAGGGATCTTACATTGAAGTGTGTATAAACATACAAACACACACACAAAAATACATTAAAAAACTTTCAGTTTGACCATTTATATGATGTAACTTGAAATTGATTCCATTATACATGTGAACGCCCAAATTAAAAAACAAACAGTTGCTAGTATATATATATATATATATATATATATATATATATATATATATATATATATATATAACAAGTTTAATACCAACATTAAGAAATTGGTGCGTGAATTTGAAAAGATTAAAATTAAAATAAATAAATGTATCTAGATCATTCAACCATATACACACACATACACACACACACACACACACACACACATATATATATATATATATATATATATATATATATATATATATAACGAGTTTAATACCAACATTAAGAAATTGGTGCGTGAATTTGAAAAGATTAAAATTAAAATAAATAAATGTATCTAGATCATTCAACCATATACACACACATACACACACACACACACACACACACATATATATATATATATATATATATATATATATATATATATATATAACGAGTTTAATACCAACATTAAGAAATTGGTGCGTGAATTTGAAAAGATTAAAATTAAAATAAATAAATGTATCTAGATCATTCAACCATATACACACACATACAAACACACACACACACACACACACATATATATATATATATATATATATATATATATATAACAGTTTAATACCAACATTAAGAAATTGGTGCGTGAATTTGAAAAGATTAAAATTAAAATAAATAAATGTATCTAGATCATTCAACCATATACACACACATACAAACACACACACACACACACACACACACATATATATATATATATATATATATATATATATATATATATATATATATATATATATATATATATATATATATAACGAGTTTAATACCAACATTAAGAAATTGGTGCGTGAATTTGAAAAGATTAAAATTAAAATAAATAAATGTATCTAGATCATTCAACCATATACACACACATAAAACAAACACACACACACACACACATATATATATATATATATATATATATATATATATATATATATATAACAGTTTAATACCAACATTAAGAAATTGGTGCGTGAATTTGAAAAGATTAAAATTAAAATAAATAAATGTATCTAGATCATTCAACCATATACACACACACACACACACACACACACACACACACACATATATATATATATATATATATATATATATATATATATATATATATAACGAGTTTAATACCAACATTAAGAAATTGGTGCGTGAATTTGAAAAGATTAAAATTAAAATAAATAAATGTATCTAGATCATTCAACCATATACACACACATACAAACACACATACAACACACACACACACACACACACATATATATATATATATATATATATATATATATATATATATATATATATATATAACGAGTTTAATACCAACATTAAGAAATTGGTGCGTGAATTTGAAAAGATTAAAATTAAAATAAATAAATGTATCTAGATCATTCAACCATATACACACACATACAAACACACACACACACACACATATATATATATATATATATATATATATATATATATATATATAATACCAACATTAAGAAATTGGTGCGTGAATTTGAAAAGTTAAAATTAAAATAAATAAATGTATCTAGATCATTCAACCATATACACACACATAC